CTGCCTGGGAAGGATCCCAGCTGTCCAGTAATGTGCCAGAACCAATGCATTTTGCACAACCCTGAATAGGGCATTCACACGCTGAAGGGCAAATTGCCCAAGCTGTCCACAGGAGCTGCCCAGATCCCAGCCAGGCCTGAGACTGAACATGGAAAGGGGCTGTGCCCAGCTTGCCCCCACCTCACTTCAGAATGGGGTCTCCATGCTAAGGGCAGCACAGAGGGCAGGCAGTTCTTGCTCACCCTGCATTGCCCTTTCCCTGGAAAATGGGGCCACAGCCAATTTCACAGGGTGAGGCAAAGGTGGCTTTGCTAATGCTTAATACAAAAGGGGGGGAGGGGGGCAGAAGAGGGACATTGTGAGCAGGGACCTGCCATCCCTGCCAAAGCCTTGCTCACTCCCTGCACACTTAAAAGGCTTGCTGCCAGGTGCAGGCAGTGCCTGCTACCCACAGCCCAACCACCCACACCAGTACAGCCCAGGGATGCTTTCAGGGTCCTGGCAGTACCCACCACTGTGCCCACCTGTCTGCCCCACCTTGGGGGGATGGCTGTCAGCCCATCCCCAGGTACCACTGCATCCCCCAGTGAACCCCCAAAAATAGCAGCAGTGGGTACAGGGGCTGTGCCCAAACCAGCTCTGCCAGGCACAGGGCAGCCGAGGCCATGGCTGGGCAGGGAAGCAGCCTGGGGCGTCCCAGCCCCACGACAACTGGAGGCAGTTTTTATTGTTTAACATTCCTGGTATTTTCTGTCAGGGCTGAACCAATTGTCCTTAATCCGCCAGGCTCTGCTGGCCAAACAAGTGTGGCTGAGCCACCAGCATCCTGTCCGCACGAACAGGCCCCTTTTGTGAGGGGGATTTAGCGTGTAGCCCAGTAAATCCTGCTGGCTTCCTGAGGCAGCGTTCCCACACACCCCCACCACCACAACCCCCCCTTGCCGCCTGCTCCCAGTCCCTGGGCCCTGGCACCGATCCCTGCCCAGCCATGCCCGTGGGTAATCCTGTCTGCCCAAGTTCTGGGGCCATGTACTTGCTGCCACCCCAGAATCTGCTCCAGGGCTGCAGATTCCCCTTGCATGTTTCTGGGATATATCTGTGAATCCCAATGGGATGTGGTGTGTTGGTGGGGCTGAGGAGCTTCACAGCCACCCCACTAATCTGCTGGTCCTCCATGGGATGCTGTGGTCCCTGGCAGGGAGTACGATGATTCTAGAGGGATGCCATAGTCCTGGAGCAGATGCTTCGATCCCTGGGGAAATGCTGAGCCCTAGGGAAGGTGATTCTGGTCTGGGGTGGGGGAAGGGGGTGTGTGGGTAAGATGCTGAGTCCTGGGGGAGCTGCTGTAGTCCTGGGAAGAATGCTGAGCCCTGGGGGAGACAGCACCCCAGGGGCCAGGACACCAACTGGTTCCTCATTCCAGCTCCAGGATGTGGCTCCAAGCCCCTGCCCGGAGATGCCTTCGCTTAACGACTCTGTTGTTTGGCCGGGAGCTGATGTTGTCTTTTCTCCACAAAACAAAGGCAACAGGATTTTATCTCTGGGGAGAATCTGGTTTCTGTGAGATGCAGAAAGGCTCTGCCCCCGGGCAGAAGAGGATGAGGCTGGCGGGGCGGAAAGGCACCAGGCTGTTGTCTGCCCCACTGGTAGGAGGAGCTGGCACTGCCCTTCTGGCTGCTCCTGCCTGCCGTAGCCCCTGTTCCACGACCTGCCTGTCATTGTCCCATGCCTGTGCCGCATGTGCCCAGGCAGCAAAGGGAGGGAAGAGCCCCCATGGGCCAGCGGTCAGAGAAAAGGGGCTCATGAACACCCACACTTCGGAGTAGAGGCTGAGGCAGGGCCCCATCTCTCCTGTGGAGGAATCCAAACGTTGGATCCCACCACAGTTCCTGTGACCAGGGACACCTCACACACTGATGCAGGCACACACAGAGATGTAGGCATGCGTCCAACCCCCATATCCATATTAGAGGCACCCGCACACACACATCCATCCATGTGTGCACACTCGCACCATCCTGCACACACACCTCAGGCACACCCTCCAGGAACATCCCTCCGTGCATACATCCACTTCCAGCCAAGCACACACACTACATCCTCCACAAGACCCCCATGCACCCTCATACACCCACACACACCCACTTGGACTCACGCACACGTACACCACCATCCCTATTCACACAGACACACACACAGACACACACACCCGCCTCTGCATCTCTCCTCACGCCCCCCCTCTCTCCCCACAGCAGCAGAGCCGAGGCTCCAGCGCCACTGCGGACCCCCAGTCCCAGCCGGACAGGCCACGCTGGGGGTGCCAGCGAGGGCGGTGGTCCCGTGCTGCGGACCCCCCGCCCGTAGCCCCCCCGCCCGCCGGGCAGAGCCGCCGGTGCTGCGGGAAGCCGCGGACTGTCAGCCCCATCTCCCGGCCAGCGGGAGCAGCTGCGCGGGGCGGGCAGAACGGAGAGGGCGAGCAGCTCCCCCGCCGCACACCGCCCGCATTTAGGCTGGTGACAGTGGCCTTGGCGGCAGGACAGGCACGGGACTTTGTTGGAAGGATGACAAACGCGACTGGGAAAAACGGTCTGCGGCATGGGGATGTATCCTGGCTCTGCTCTCCATCACCCACACGGGCTGGGAGTGGGACAGGGCGGGGTATTGGGCGGCAGAGCTGCGCTGTATCCCAATGTGCATCCCGTTTGTATCCTTCCGAGTGACAGGACCAGTGTGGGGAGGGCACCCCAAGGGCACTCGAGCCTGGTGAACCTGGCTTTACCTTGCGTGGATGGATCAAAGTCCCGCTTGAGCTCAGCCTCGCTGCCCAGGGCTGGGGCGGACCCCCTAAGCTGGGAATGGGGGGCAACCTGAGGGCTGGGGAAGCAGGGCGGACTCCGAGAGCAGCTGCAGCACCCATACGGGCACTCTGGGCCTCGGCCCCTCGGGATTATCCCCATGCTGCACACGGCTGCTGCAGGGACCGGCCTCCAGGTGACAGTGCAGTGATAGCTCTTCTGCGCCGGGCAGATTTGCTCAGCAGTGATGGCTCCTGTCCCCTGCAGCTCATGGCAGCGGTCCTGCCCGCACCCACCGCCCTTGTATGCCCTGGGCTGCCCCCGCAAGTTTTCGGGGGACCATGGAACAGGGCAGGGGGACTGCGAGGTGAGGGACCTGGGAAGCAGAGGTCACCCCGGCAGGAGGAGCAACCCCGGCTCCAGAGACACCGGGCCGGTGCAGCCGCGCCTGCGGGCACGGAGCCGGGCTGAGCCCCACCCGTCACCCCTGCTCCCGCCGCTCCATCCCTGCGGTTTCAAGCCACGCAAGCCGCTTCCTGGGGGAAAGGGGGCCCCCGGCAAACCCTCCGGGCAGGATGCTCTCCGCTCCTCTCCTCCTCTGCTTCCTTCCTCTCCCTTGGCCGGGCCAGCCCTCCCCCTGCCCGCGGCGACTCCTTAACCCTTTCGCCCACGCTCCCGGCCGTCATCCAGCCCCACGGCCACGGCTTCCAGCCACCGCCCCCGGCCCTTTGTGCAGGATCCCGGTGCTGCCCCCGGGGTCCGCGCTCCCCCCAGGCCCCGCCCCGGCGAACATCCGCGGCCGGAGGCAACTCGCAAACAGCCCGTCCTGCCCACGGCTCCCGCCGGGACCCGCGTGGGCTACAGCTCCCTCCACGCTGGGGTCTGGGGCTCCCTGCCTGCCGGCCGTGACGCCCTCATCTCCCTCCGGGGGAGCGAGCAGGAGCCCCCGGTGCGGGGCCGCGCTCCCTTCGGCATCACCGCGGCGCGGGGAGCGGCCATGGCGGGAGCCGGGGATGCGCATTCCCGCCGGCCGCGGGGGCACCGGGCCGTTCCCGTGGGGCACCATGCGATCCGTGCGCGGGCAGAGGGAGCCCGCAGTGCCGGGCGGTTCCGCGGCTACCGGCCCGACCGGCCGTAGAGCCCCGGCGCGCACTGGGAGCGGGGCTGGGCTGGGGGTGAGCCCGATCGCGCGGCGGGGGGCTGAGGGTGAACCCCGCGGTGGGGTGGCCGTGGCCGCCCGTGCTCCCCGCTGCAGCCCGCAGACAAAGCCCTGCGGCGGCAGGGCCGGCCACGCTGCCCGCTGTGCCGCATATCCGGGCGGGAGCGGGAGGCAGTGGCCACGATGCCATTTCCCTGTTCCTCTGCCGGAAGAGAAGGGCTGGAGAAGGCCCTTCCTGCGGGCGCTGGCCATGGCACGGGCGGAGGTGATACAGCAGATGGGAAGTGCGTCTGAGGGCATCCCGCCACCACTGCCCTGCTCCTCCCTGCGCCAGTAACCACATGGCTGCAGGTGGATCACTGCGGGGCCCCACTGGGACAGTGGGATGTGGACATGCCTCAGGGTGCGCAGAGCTATCTGAGCATCGCTGCCCAAGCAGTACAGCCCTGGAACACCAGTGTCGCATCGGCGTGTGCTGTGCCATGTGCCCATGGACCAGGGGCTCACAAGGGGAAACCAGGTTGGGACATGTCCCGATGGCTCTGGCTCTCCCCGCTCAGCCTAAGAGGGGGGGCACTTCAGCAGAAGGAGGGCAGCTGGTGACAGCCAGTGCCCAGGATACAGTTCTTCTGCTTGGAACAGCCCTAAACATCTCCCCAGGTTGCTCACTGGGTCTCAGACAACAGCTTTGGGAAGACACGGGGTGTTCCTGCTCTGCACACGCCCTGCCCGCCCCTGGGGGGGTATAAATAAACCACTAGTTTTATTTTGGGAACGTGGCAGAAACGTGCATGGCAAGTTACTCCAATGAGAAAAGAGGAAAGTTGGCTGCTGGGTTCTCTCCCAGGTGTGCCAGTCTTCAGCTGCCAGTCGATCCTGGAGAGATGGACAATGTATTTCCCATTCAAGTGTAAGCCAAGGGACTTAGGCACGCTGGGTGATGCCCCAGCTCTGCAAAGGTGGGGAGAACTGTGTAGATACTGGAACTCAGTGCCGAGTTCATTCAGCACTGGGGCACAGCATGGCCCCAGCTCCCACATGTCACCATGGCAGGTGAGCATGGAGGGAAAGGGCCTAAAATAGGTCAGGTGCCACCAGCTGAGCCCTGGGCTGGGACCTCAGAGGTACAAACATGTTACGAGCAAAACTTCCTGCCGAATCACCCCATCCTCCGTGGGTGTGCTGGAGTGGCATAAGCTGAACATGGCAGTGTCTCTCTGGTGGCAGCACACAGTAGGGTGACAATGGGTCGAAGACCTTGGTGTGGCTCCTCAGAAGCAAATGCTGGGAGAAATGGTTGTTCCATCACCAGCCACAGACAGAGCAGAGGGAGTGCTTGGGCAAGACCACACGGGCACCAGGAAGGCAGGTGCCTTCAGTGGGGCTGCCAAGGTGCGCAGGCAGGGAGGAGGCAAGTCCTCAGTACCCCTCTGAGGTGCCAGCCCGCAGCCGCTCCAGGACAGCGTTTCAGCGCCTGCGGGGCAGCGAGGCCCGGGCAGCGGGCGCTCCCTGCCTGGGTGTGCAGAGCGGCTGCTCCGGGGCCCAGCCCGGCGGGGGGAGCGCGGCGCCAGCACGGCCGGGGGCTCCCGCACGGCCGGACCGGAGTGGGGGGGGAGAAACAAAGGGCAGCGGCGGGCGGGGGGAGCGGGTCCGCACGGGCAGTGCCGCGACGAGCCCCGTTGCGGCACCCCGGGGGGCGGCAGCCCGGCCCTGCCCCCCGCGCGGCCCGGGCAGCACCGCCCCGGTGCCACATCCCCGCGCTGCCCCGGCTGCCCCCCGCCCCGTGCCTGCCCAGCCGTGCCGGTGCGGCGGCGGCGCGGCGCGGCGCCCGGACCCGTGCGGCTGGCGGCGGAGACCCCGGCCCGCATCGGAGGTAGCGACGGAGCCGCCGCCCGCCGCGGGCCGGTTGCGGGGGGCGGCGGTGGCGGCCCGTCCCGGCGGAACGGGCGGGCGCGGGGCCGGTGCGCGCCGCTCGGTGGCGGGAGGGCGGGCGGGAGCGCGGCTGTCCGGGAGCGGCGGAGCCCGGCGAGGACAGCCAGGCCGCGGGCACCCGGCGCCGCTCCCCGGCGGGCGAGGCTCGGCAAG